CCACTTGACTTTCTAGCTGCTACTGGAATGCCCATGTCTGAGGCTGCCACCTGTGTCCTCTCCTCTAGCAGTTGAAAGCTAAAAAAAATAAAGCCTACTGTGTGTTGGTAAAGCACCTTCTCTTTCTGAGATCTCACCTCTCTTACCAATATTTCCACTTCTTACTGAACATTTGTTGTGTCCTGAAGCAAATTGCTAGCTAGCTATCAGGAGAACAGGATGGGGTGTGGACATGAGGGTAAGTGAGAGGGATCCCAGGAAAGGACTAGGGAGTAGACACAACCAAGTCACCTTTAATATTGTCAAGTAAGAACCAAACACTATCTTTCTGCTTCTGTGCTCTAATCTTTACCTCTCTGGTGAGACATGGGTGTTGCTTTTCTCCTTTTCTCTATTATTTTGCTTTATTCTGGTCAAGTTTTTTTCCTGAAATATTCAATCTAGGAGCAAAACACAGGCCAATGCAGTTGCCTCTCTTCATCAAAATTCGCAAGTTTTTTTCCACGCCGTCTAAAAACTTCAGGCTAAATGTTTGATCTGAATTTAAACAATGTAGGGATGGATTTGAAGGCCTGACTAGAATGAGTACATTACTGCTCTGGCACTAAGCAGAACTTGCCTCATTCCTCTCCTACCAAATGTAGTCTCTGAGCTGGCTGGATCCTTGTAGAAGTTCCCACATGGATCACTAAGGGCCATTGTTAGGAGTTTTGCCAAGTAAGTGCTCTGCCTGTATTAGTTACTTAATATCTTCTTTTCACTGATATAAATTTAGTTTAGAAGGAAATATATCAGCATCTAAAATCAAAAATTTGTTTTATTTCCTATAAATAGAAAGCAGCCATAGAGAATAAACTAATGAAAAATAAAAAAAAACAGACTATTAAGTTCCAACTAGATGTCAATACTCTGAGTGCGGTCACTGTCTCTGCATGTGCCAGCAACACAGGCATGGGGATAGTTTTCCTACCTCCTTTCTGGGGCTCTTGGCTAGTTGAAAGTTGTGGAAAGAGAATGAATTCCAGACTCTAGAAATTCAGATTTAATGACAAGTTGCATCCCATGTTTTGAAGACAGACAAGAAGGGAACCAAGCTGGCTTACATTTTTAACTAGCGTTGTGTTCCATTCAGATTGCTTGTACTTCCCTTTACTTTTTCTTTCAACTCACCCAGAACGTAACAACAACTAGTAATAACAGAAGAAGGAAGCTGGCATCAAATGACCTCCTTTCTGCTAGGCACTTGCTTAAATGCTCTCCACGGATTATCTCATAAAAACCTTTACTATTCATACCAAAATTACCCCACAGATGAGCAGACCCCAGCAAAGTCCAGTGATGCAGACCTAGGCCTTCTGATTCTAAAGCCTACCACCCTAAACATGCCCAATGACATTCATTTGTAGGTTAAATTCACCCTACACTCGTATGTTAGAGAGAATAGGAAATAAGCTCTTTGTGTCCTAAGCATTCTCCCTCACATATCAGCTTGGGGCCCTGAAAACACCAGATATGCCTGTTCTGGTCTGAGATCTGCCATTTGTTTGCTCTACTGTTTTCTCCTCTGGGCTTCATTTCCATAATTAAATGATGGAAGGATTCTGGTCTCTGCCTGAGTAACAGAAAAGGCCTGAGCACTGATCTTTCAGACTAAGCACTCAGCACCCAGCGCTACTGAATAACCAACAGCAGTCTGTGAGAATCAGATGTATGAGCCCTGGATATCACAATGCAGAGGTGGCTGACAGAATGCAGTTTGACTTCCTCATATTTTTTGGTTGGAACTTAAAAGCACTGCTTGGATGTGAGCTCAATGGTCCCTGTAAGTATTCACTCACCAGGCACTTGACAGCTTCTCTGCCCTCACACACAGCTTGTGGGGAAAGAATATTGGTTCCATTTTGTGGAAGAGGAACTTTGTCACAGCAAGTGACTTGCCCAAGGACACAAGAGCTTATATGTGGCAAAAGTTGGGGTGGAAACCGTATTTCTTCCTCTTAAGTTCATTTCTAAATAAATGTTTTAGACTATATAAATTATGATTTATACCAATGATACACAATCCACTGTAAAATTTCTGTCACATAGATAAAGGAAATAGCCTTGATCTCAGCTCAGTACTCCTTTCCCCAGAAAAAAGTATTCTCACTGGCCTATAATTTGGTAATTTGTGGTTTTGTTTGCTCTTACATATAAATAAGATATGTTGTATGTAATTTGCTATTCTCCTTTCAACAGTAAACCCTACAAATCATTTCACATCAGCCCAAATAACTCCTTTTGGTTGGTGTTTCATAGGAGCCTGTAGAGTTGGTGGTCCATCCTGTCTGAGGTCTCTTTGGTTGTTTGTTGGTTTGTTTTGAGAAGACTGACCACAAAAAAGGTCATCTGGAATAGTTTCATGTTGAAGTGAAGTGTCAGCTTAGACTTGGCAGTTGTCCTGTTGGCAAAAGTCAATCACTTGATGGGCCTCTTCCCTCTTTTAGGGATTGGGAAATGGTTCAAGGTACGCAGGCTGTGGAGGCCAATTGATGAAATCCTGCTTCCACCACTAATTCCTAAATGTGTGCTTTTGAGTAAGTTATTTAACCTGCTAACCTGGTTGTTAAAGTATTGGTTCAGTAAGCTTGGGAAGGTAATTGGTAACCATTTTTCAAAATGCCAGGCTTCACACTGTTTATTTCCTATGGCCTTGCTGGTTCTGCTTCCTGCTACTATCCCAGGACATGATCTTAGGAACTTTATGGAAATATTAAAGAAACACACACACACACACACACACACACACACACACACACACACAAACCCAATGAGAAAATTAAACCAGTTTTTAGTAATAAACCTGGGATTATAGTGGAAATGAGTAATTCTAACTCCATCCTTATCCCATTGTCTAGTATACTGTGGATCCTACTGGACCCTTACCACTGCCTGGTGATGAGGAAACTGAGGATCTGGCACCGTTGTGACTCTCTTGGTCAGAACTGCTGCTTGAAGTTAGAATCTGAATCCAGGACTTCTTACATGTAGTCACTTCAAGAACTTCGGTGTCAGCTACTATGATTAGACCCACATGCCTGGCAGCACAGACATGATTCTTTCTCTACACTGACAGTCAGTCATAGATCATTTGTGAACTGCTTAAGGCCTAGTGACATAACTGGATGAACATTCAGTTCTCTAATGTCAAGTGTAGGCAAACTCACCCTGGGGCCAGATCCAATTTGTAAGCCTTCAGAACAGTTTTCATTTTTAAAAAATGTCTGGGTAGAAATTCAGAGTAGTATTTTGTGACCTTAATTTTTTATGAAATTCAAATTTCTGTCTATAAATAAAGTTTTACTGTAACATAGCTGTGCCCATTCATGTATCTCTCATGGCTTTCACACATTGAGTTGGAGAGAGAATGTGGCTCACTAAGAACAAAATATTTACTTAGTCCTGCAGAGAAGTCTGCTGGCCTGATATGAGGTGATCACCACCAGCCATATACATTTTGTTCCATATACATTTACTAAGTTCCTACGAGAGTGGGCATCTTCCAAATTTTGCAATCTTCAGTTATCTAGCTCTGGCATCTTTAAGATTTTAGCAGTCTTTGTACTTGTGTTTGGGTAAAATGAGATGGGTAAACCAAGTAGTTGAAGAGCAGCGGATGATGAAGGCATTAGTTAAATGAATTCCTTGCTAGAGTTCTAGGGGAAACCCAGAGGTAGATTGAGTTTTGCTGGGGTCAGGAATTGCAGGTTGGTTAATGTAAGATATTCTACAGCTTATTTTCTGTCCCTGAATAATTATAATTGGATTAAAATGAGTTAAAAGGAATGCAATGAAAGATGAAGTATCAAGAGATGGAGAGATGGCTCAGATGTTAAGAGCACTATTATAACTCCAGTTCCAGGGGATCCGATGCCCTCTCCTGGCCCCAAACACATAAATTTTTAAAAAGGATGAAGTATCTAATTCTATTTCCTTATAATTAAGGATTTAAGAATTTGAAGTTCTCTTGCTCATATGAACATACAGCAATGGGGTCAGCACACACAAGACCCATGCAAACTCAAGCAAAAAACTGGAAATGGGGAGCAGGCCCCAATTTAACTAAAGAACTACTGGCAGCTGATTACTGCTAGGTGAGGAAGAGCTGGTCTTCTTACAAAAGGGACTCTAGATAGGCTGACTAGACCTCAGTGGATGAATTTGCACTGAGGGACATCTGGGGACACTAATTTGTCTCAATAGGCCTTAACACAAATGACAGTATGGATGAAATCCAGTGGGTGCTATGGGAGGGCGCCAGTGGGGAAGAGGGTGTAAAGATGATTAAGATGTTCTATATGAAATACTCAAAAATAAAAAATTTACAAAATAGAATTTTAAGTTCTGGAAGTGAGAACTTTAAAGACAAACATGATTCGGTTAGGAAATTTGCAGGCATCCTTGCCTTTCTGTCACTCACAACAGACGCAGTATAGTGCGATTCGAAGTTTGGACTCCTCTCCTCTCCAGACATGAGGTCCTGACCATGGGCAAACAATTTTTCCTTCTTGGCCTCCTAGAAAGTAAAAGGGTACACAAATCCAGAAGGACCTTTACACTTTGTACAGCCCATGATTCCTTTTGTCTTTAGAACTTATAAAAATTTTCCCAAGACTGCTGGCTTCCGAGGCCTGTTCATGTCACTCAGCTCCCATGCAAAGTCCTGATAGGAATGCAGGTGGTCCTCTGCCACTTCTGCTCCAAAACTCAGCAGCATGTACCACTGCCACACAGTATATCGCTGTCACACTGGGGCAGCTTCTATGAAGGAGAAACGCACCTCTCGATGGCCTGCCTACTCACCTGCGCTCTGCCACTGTTTTATATGTGTTGAGTGTCGAACAGCCATAGAAAAATTTTAAAGGATCAGAAATGGACACTGGAATCCGATTTAGATACAGCTCTATGCACTGCTTTTGCTACTTCTCTTTAGGAAAAGGGATTCAAGTCTAAGGCAAGAATAAAGTTTGTAATAAATGTTTATTCTTATATTCAAGATAAAGCATTTACACAATTAAATGTGGAAATAAATAACTAGAAGTGCTTTGGAAACTTTTCTAATTCCCCATAAATTCTTTTTTTTTTTTTTTAAATCCATGAGTCTTTCCATTTAAAGAAATGCAGCAACTTAACACTAAGGCAAAAAAGAACCACATCTTACACTACAGAAACATACTCCTCTCTAAGGTTTTTTAGTTGGTAATTTTCATAACAAAAAGCACGCAAGACAAAGGACTCCTTAACAAATTTACTCAGACAACTTTGCTCCAGAAGAAAAAGGCACAGACTGAAGGGACGATGGAGATTAAGAGCAGAGTTGATAGACTCAGTCAAATGACACTGAAAACTAAATAAGGAAAATGAACAAAATCAATGCTCAAATTATCTGCCTTCATTGAAATGAAAAATTTTTAAATTAAGATATATAAACATGGGATATAAAGATGGTACTTTAGGAAGTGTCTTTGTATATTTCCTCTATATACAAATCTATGTATATGATTTCAATGTTTCTTATACATTTCCTATATACCAAACTGAGCCAGGGCCTCCCAGTTCCAAGCCCAAAGTTCCTGTGTAGCCTTCTGGCAGCTGGATGGCCCCCGCTGCTTTCTGCTAGAATAGCTGGGAAAGAGGAGGGGCCAGTCAAATGTAGTCATCTTCAACTGGCTCTCCATTGACATCACAATAATGGATAAAAATAGCCACTACTCGCTGAAATACACCCCTCTTCATCTGACGCATCTCTGAGATCTCCTCTCCTATTGTTTCCATACAGATGTCTGCAGACAGCTGTCCTTTCCTTCGAGGAGCATAGATGGTACCTTGGAAAGACAGAGCAGAGATGTATGACAATCAGAATCACTTGGTCCATACAACAATCATATGCCCTATAACATAATGTAGCTGATAAAAGAATAAGCTCATGGAATGTGTCCTCATCATTTGAGTTTTAGATCAGATTCAATGTCCAGAACAGAAGACATGATCAAAGTCCCCAGGCAAAAATAATGCACCCAACGGTAAGTTAGACATTTCCCCCAGAATCAAATCCATCCCCTTATAAATATTTCTTTCAGAGCTTTCCTATAAGTGAATATACAAGTGTGCTAAAACTTAGAAAAATTGTTTTAAAAGCTTACTCCAAAATTTCTATACTTGCATCACAATAAGCTGCCTCATGATACACAACAAGCAGTTCTAAGAAGTAGGTGAATAATTAGTATGATTGGAACAATTTTGAAATAATATTGTAATAAATCCTTCAATAAAAACTAATGAGATTGCCAGGCATGGTGGCACATGCCTTCAATCCCAGCACTTGGGAGGTGGAGGCAAGAGGATTAAGAGTTTAGGGCCAGCCTCAGCTACAGACAATTAGAGGTTGGCTTGTGTTACTTGAGAAATCTATCTCAAAAAAGCAAAAAAGTATTAAGATTCTATATGCATTATGTAATCGCTGGGGTATAATTCACTAAGGCCCTATGTTCAATCTCCAGCATGCAAACACGTGTGCACATGTGCGCATTACAGACACAAAGAGGAAAAAATTAGGTAATTTTCTAATACTAAAATCTGAACAAATCCTCATCACACAGCCTCAGGAGGTCCACTGCATATCTGTTGTACAAATTCAGAGCTAGAATTTTTTTTTTTCTGAAGAAACAGTAAAATATTTACATGGGAGTATTTATATTGCTCCTAATTATCAAACAAAATATTAACTATTTAACATAGTGAAACAGATTCAAACTAGAGAATACAAGTCAAGTCAGGTCATAATTACTCTCTTCATCATCTTCAAAATCATATCTAGCAAAGCTGTTGGGCTCTGCTGCCCTCAGTGATCTCAGCCAAGGGAAGTCAGAAATCATGGAATACGGAGCTCCATCTACAACACCTGAAATAAGAAGACAGTTGTAAAAGCGCCATAGTGGTGGAAATACCAACAGGAGCAAACTACAGCATTTGTTAAGCAGAATATAAAATAGAGATGGAGCCAGGTGACTTCAAGTCTTTTCCAATTCTCAAACCACAGTGGTTCTTAATATTTATCTATCTTTTGTGATTCCTGTAGGGATGATAAAGACATGCCAGACAAAGCAACATTTATCCAGTCTCTGCTTCTCAGAGATATTCAAATCACATGCTATCTTGATGAATTCTAAGCGCCCCATTCATATTTTCCTAGAAGCATCCCCTCCATCCAGTTCATGGCTTAAAACTTAGCTTTCTAAGGCAGGTAAACGCTTACCCTCCAACGTGTAAATTTCTCTCCCCCAGGGGTATTTAGGGTACTTCTTTAAATCTTCTTCAGTTCGAGTGGCTTCAGGGAAGAATTCATACTTAATGAGCTCTCTGCAGGCAACAGAGAAAAAAATGAAATAAAGATTACAGAACTGAAAATGTTGGCTGTGTGGGGTAGGAAGCAAGTATCTCAACGCTGAAGGTTCAGATTCCATCAACTCTCTCAGGCAGACAAGGAACCTCAATAGCCCCCAGTTACTTAAACTAGAGAGTGTAACTCGAATTGGTCTAAGCTACATTCTTTACCATCTTCCAACTCATATTAAGGAAAAATAAAAGCCAGTCTCTGAGCAAATGTCTTGAGTATAGGTGGGTAATTAATACAATGTTTATATAATAAATAAGCCAATTTTCTGATAAGGTGAAATGTCAAGTCTCAGGACTGCCATTAACTTGACTTCTTTTCCATCCTCCACAACTGAAGAAATAAAGTGACATATGCAAGTAGTTTCTTAGCATTTTTTCTGTTTGAAAACAAAATGCGACATATATATAAATGCTTGCTCTTTAGCATGAAATACTCACTTTTCTTAGTTTCTCACAGGTAAAATTCATGACAACTCCATCTAAAAAAACCTCATCAGGAATCACTGAAAATGAATAGCAGCCAACAGAAGAACTGAGAGCAGCCAACAGAAGAAAGGATGAAAAAGGCCTTTCAGGGTCACAGAATCACTTACTGATTGATGTTTGCTATCGTGTCCATCCAGCTGCGAATGCGCACTTTGTTCCGCACATTGGGAGGGTTACTGAATTCATGGATGATACAGATGTGATAGGGGTAGGGGCCGCTAAACAGCTTTTGCTCCAAAGTTAGTGTGTCTACCTGGAGAAGACATGAGAATGAGGACTTTGGAGGAAGAAAGTTAGGTCTGAGACATCTGTTTCCCAGAGCCTAAACAATTTTCCTTGGGTCCTTCAGCTCTGAAGTCCTTGGCTGATTTGAAAATCAAACAGTTCTGGTCCAGAACACAACGTGCCATGTTGGGATTAAGACTTAGCAATTTCTCCCTCACTGCTCTGTAAATACCTGTTGGGCCAGACAAACCTGATTCAGGTAACTGATCACAGTCAACTCAGACTCCACTCCTGAGGGTGTCCCTGGTAGGTTTGTTCTGGATTGCATTACAGAGCAGTGAATGCCTATAACTGAATGTCCCATTCGGAACAATTACAGCTGGTTTTTAAGGACACCGTATCTCCTGCCTCCCTGTGGGTTCTATGCTGACAGTGCTCTCTCAGAATGCTCTTCCCTGTGCCCAGCTACGGGAGCTCACTCTGCTTTTGATGGAGTACATGTGCAACTTCTTCACAAAAAAGGGCTACTTTAAAAAAATTTAGATTTATTTCGTGTATGGGTGCATGTATGGAAGCACATCTGTGTCATGCAATGCCCACAGAGGACAGAAGAGAGTGTCAGATCCCTGGAACTGGAGTTGTGGATGGCTGTTAGCACTGGGTGCAGGGATTGGAACCTCACTTTCTGCAGGAACAGTGGGTACTCTTAACCACTGAGCTATCTCTCCAGTGCTGAAAAAAGGTAAACTTTTTTTTTTTAATGAAAAAGACAAATTTTATTTTAGACAAGTTCATGATTATATGTGCTATAGCAAATTTTACTTTAGACAGGTTTATGATTACATATACTATAACAAAGCCTAGTTATAGAAAATTTTCATTTCAAATCATCACTGATGGATAAATTTAATTTGGAATGTTGAATTTCTGCTAAAATACATTTAACTCAATAGTATACCATGTTTTACATTTGTTTGTAGGCCCTATATTAGAAACAGAGGTCAAATTTTCCTCATAAAAATAGAATAAACTTATAGCTACCTAAAGTCATAAACTGTGAACTCAGTTCCATAGTATTGCTTTGAAAATATACCCCTAGGCTGTTAAAGAAATTCCAACTCCATGCAAATGCACCACCAGCTGGCTTCATGGTCACTCTTCTTTTCTGACCCCAACCAATTAAACAGTGTTTTTCAACTCTTCGGCGAAGGGCATTTTTTTCTCCTACTTCTGTGCACACAGGATTAGTCAAAACGATCTTGCCCAGGTAAGCCTTGACAGCACTAACCCTTCCTCCTGTTGACAGGGATCCTGTACCAACCATGAGGACTTCATTCTTAGACAACTCTTGAACCTTTGCTGCTTTCTCTTTTTTTTCATACATGCATGAAATAACTACCATCATCACAACTTCGGCTGAGCCTGATCGCTAAACATAGTCACAGTTGGGCTTGTTGACCATTGTGCTCATTTATTAAAGAAGTGCCAAGCAGGGTCACTGGACCCTCACCTGAGTATCCAGTTACTCTTCCCACCCAACTAGTCCAGTCTTGGAAGACAAAAGAAAAATGATGAAGAACCCAATAGAGGGATGGTTTTGGAAGCCCTTGTCAAGAAACTCCAATGGAGTCTCATGTGAACATTTGATAATTGCCCTGTTCTGACTTTTTTCTAGTTTCCTGTCTAGAACTTGTAATGCTAACTACTCTTGCCTTTACTTCTCTTCCCTTTACTTCTCCTTCACATCTCCTACTCACGATTCAAAGACTTTCTTCTCCCCTTAGAGACAAGAGTTATACAATTTGGGAGTCTTTTAGATAGACCCACTGAAGGGGTACTCCAATTGCCTCATCCTGTGTCCCTGTTCAGCAAGGAAAAAGCCAAAGCGGTCTGCATCCCGATTCCTTACTGGCAATTTGGGTAACCCCTTCAGAGGATGGCGTGATAAGAATAGGAGGTAAGAACTGGCTAGGCAGTTAGGGTAAAAAGACTCCAAAGAAATGTAGCCAGTTGCTTAGCTAAAAGTCAAAATGTCCTTGCTGGCAACACACTCTGTTCCAAAGGCCAAAAATGTCAAAAGTATTTGGGAGCTTGTATCTAATCGTTAAAAGATTTTAGGGTTACCTCTTCAGAGGGGGGAATGTTGGAGGAGAGGAAGTGGGCATGGATTTGATCAAAAAAGGTAAACTTCTTGAAGGAAGAATAATCCATATTTTTTAACATGTAGCAAATTTATTTTTTTTATTTAATGTGTATGACTGTTTTGCCTGCATGTATGTAAGTGTACTATGTGCATATCTGTGCTGTGGAGGTCAGAAGAGGACATCAGATCCCTAGAACTGGAGTTACAGACAGGTGGGAGCCACCATGTGGATGCTAGGACCTAAACCTAGGTTCTCTGCAAGAGCAGCAAGTGTTCTTAACTGCTGGGCCTGCTCCACATGTATCAAATTTAAAAAAAAAATATTTTATTCACTATTTTTATTTTATGTGTATGAGTGTATTGCCTGCATGCATGTGAGTGCACCCATGTCGTGCAATGCCACTGAGGTCAGAAGAGGGCTTCGGAATCCCCTGGAACTGGAGTTAAGGTGGTTAAGCACCATGTGGGTGCTGGGAATCAAACCTGGGTCCTCTGCAAGAGCAGTCACTGCTCTTAACCACTGAGCCATCTCTCCAGCCTCGACACATGTATCAAATTTTGAGTATTAAGATACTCAAGAATTTGTTGAACTCATTTTTAGGGTCTGAATCATATAAACTTCAAGAGTTGTTTAATATTTCCTTTTGGCAGCAAACATAGTCTTAAATGTAAAGTTAATTTTTAATAATCATTACAAGGGGCTGGAAAGATGGCTCAGCAGTTAAGAGCACTGGCTGCTCTTGCAAAGGTCCTGGGTTTGGTTCCCAGCAACCACATAGTAGCTAACAACTATCTGTAACTCTAGTTCCAGGGGATCTGACACCTCCTTCTGACCTCCGGAAGCATCACACAACACAGGTGTACTTACATGCAGGCAATATACTCATACACACAAAATAAAAATAATAAAAAATAAATATTAAAATAATAATTACAGCTATTATAGTATTGCTTACTGTTCTAGCATACCACGAGTTGAAATAACACAATAACCATAGGTTTAATATTTTATTCTAATTTAAGAAGGAAGAAATTAAGAGATAAAAGTTAAGGAATTTGTGGTATGTCCAAAAGCCAGAACTGAATCAGGAAGTTTGCAGGCCAAGTGTATGCTCTTAGTCAACAAGCAATTTCTAACTTTCTAAATGACAACTCCTATGTAATATGCTACGACTTTATAGAACTCTAGTAGAAAAGTATTAATAGAGAAGATTGGCAGGAAAATCTGGCTTGTTTATCAAAGCTCCACAGAATCATTACTGTGGGCTGAACAAATGAATAAATGGATTCAATAAACAGGTATCACCACAATGTGAACATTATCAGAAAAAAAACAGAGCTCGTTACCTGCTGCATTGGGCGTAGGTATATGATACGGTTTCTCTCTGGAGGCATCCTTAGGATTTGGTCTAGTACCTGATCCATATTCAGTTTCTTGCATTGGGCATAGTCAAATCGGTTTACAATCGGTGCACTTTCTACCTTTAAATGTTTCAGTACCCTGCACCTGGTAGCTACAAAATGAAAGCAATGAAAGACTCAACAAGTAATTTATACAGATAAGAGTGCAAAGACAGTGCTCGGAGCATCTTTGGGAGAAAATACTGGCAAAAGGTACTAGTAAACATCTTGAACACAGGTCCAAAGCGATCATGGACTACAAAAAGCAGCTAACAAAAAGACTGGAAAATGTGATTCTCTTCCAAAGAAACTGGTCATCCTCATGGTAGAAGGGATACCAAGGTCCCTTTTCCTTCTGATATCGTTTTGTCTAGGAAACTATGTTCTAGTCAAGATGACTTCCCCGAATAGGAATTGCTCAGGAAATATTTTTCAAGTATTAAAGAACTATTAAATGACATTACTATACAGTGAATGGTCATATCTGGAATAATTCACATATATTCTCTTACAGCTACTTTTAACATATTTTATTTATTATTTTTATTTTATGTGTATGAGTGTATTGCCTGTATGTAAGTGTACCTGTGTCATGCAATGCCTGCGGAGGTCAGAAAAGGATATCGGATCCCCTGGAGCTGAAGTTATGGATGGTTGTTAGCTGCCACGTGGGTGCTAGGGATGAAACCGAGGTCCTTTGCAAGAGCAGCCAGTGCTCTTAACCACTGAGCCATCTATCCAGCCCAAAACAGTTAATTTTAATTTGTCATAAGTATATAAACAGAATCTTGAAAAACAAAAGGGCAGAGAATTATATGTATAATAATTCTGTGGCTAGTAGCTACCATATCAAACAATGTAGATACAGAATGTTTCCAGTATTGTGCAAAGATCTACTAAAAAGGGTTATCTAAAATATTAGCCTTCCTGTTCAACACAGCAAACATGAAGTCAGAGAGATATGTTACTTAATGCATGTACTTAACAACACTATATCCCCAGCCCTCCTTCTGTGTTTTAAATCACCTAGTTCAGCATTAGAGAGGATTAAATGGAAGACATTATAAAACCATAAAGGTGATTTGTCTGATTTTTTAAGCTTTTCATACAGTTATCTTCTATAAGATCCTTAACACAGCATCATCTTCCAGAATACTCTACCCTGTAACTAACTTTGATGTTTAAACACTGACCCAGATCCTGCCTTCAGGCTCAATTTCTCCTGTCATCTGCAAAATGGAGAAATCCATGAAGACAGAAATAAAAAAAAGAGGGTTGACTAGATGGTGATGTTTCTGATGGCTCTCTGATGTAAAACCAGACCCAGTTAAGGCTAGCTCCACTTTCACTCAGGCATCTGATCTGTCATTCACTTAATTGGTGACTATTGACTGAGCTGTGTTTCATGACAAGCTGAACTAAACATCTTGATTTAGGGCAGAAAAGGGACCTGAAGCTATGTGACCTACCAGGAGGTGGAAGAAGAGAGAGGGGACATACATCAGGGTAAGTGCAAAGGTCAAAGTCAACGAGATTTTCCCAGAGAAATGTCCACCTCTTTGGGAGAAGAATGAGATGCCAACAGAAGCAGCTGAAAGCTGTTATAGATGCTTAGAGGCAGAGGGTGATACCCAGAGACTGGTTAGAAAGAATAATCCTGATATATGACTTCAGAACCTTTGAATAGCCTGTGCTGTTTATGAAGAAACTCCAAAGGCGATAGTGTTAATTAGATATTTTAGGACAAATAAAAACCTTGCCATTTGAAATGGAGAAAAGTTCAAATTCTTCAGAATGAACAAGGGTCTGAAATCTTACAGAATTCAGGGAAGGGGGTTTTATCTGTCCTTTCTAGATTCTCCTAGTTTATGAAAAAATGTTTGGAAGGTGCCTTTTTTAAAAAATATTTTCTATTTATTATTTTTATGTGTATGCGTGTATTGCCTGTGTATAGGTAAGTGCCCCGTGTCGTGCAATGCCCGTGGAGGACAGAAGAGACTGTCGGATCTCCTAGAACTGGAGTTATGGACAGTTGTTAGCTGCCATGTGGGTGCCGGGATTTGAACCCAGGTCTTCTGCAAGAACAACCAGTGTTCTTAACTACTGAGCCATCTCTCCAGGAAGGTGCCTTTTAATGAGAATTAATGGGATTTCTTTGCATTATTGATTTTTAGTACCACAGGAAATAGACAATGTAATAAAACTGTAAAAAGACAATGTAAATAAAATTTTTCTTTTTAAAATCAATTCTTTGAGAATTTCATACCTTGGATTTTAATCATATTCACCTCTCCGTTAATGCCTCTCAGATATATCTTTCCCTCCCCCACTGACCCAACTTTGTGACCTCATTTTTCTTTCTAAACCCACTGCATCTGATTAGTGATGCCCATATTCTTCTTGGTGAATGGTCATCCACAGGAACCTGGCCAACCTACCCAAGGCCACACCCTCAAAGAAAAGGGACTCTCCCTCTCCCAGCAGCCATCAATTGCCAGTAGCTCCTCAGTCAGGAGTGGGACTTTTGTGTCTCTCTCCCTCCTCCATGCTTGGATTTTTGTCTGGCTTAAGCTTGTGCTTAACAGCTTTTTGCAATACTAATAGACTACAAAGTAGTATTTACTAAATGTTTCCTTTCTCCTTTTTGGTAAAAAACAGGTTCTCACTCTGTAGCCCAGGTATGGGATTAATGGCAATCCAGCTGCCTCAGCCTATGCCTTTTAGTTGTCAGACACTGTATTGTGTGTTTAGAAGCATGCATGTATGTACGTATATACACACACGGATGTACCATGCATTCAACTACCAAAAATGCTTTATGAATTAACCAAAATTATACATACTTTACACATTCAAGAAAATTAACACAGAATACTTAACTTCCTCAAGGCAAGGAAAAAATCAGATCTTGGTATTTTTTGGAGACAGGAATGTAGCCAAGGCTAGCCTGAAACTAGTAGACCAGGCTGGCCTCAAACTCACAGAGATTCACTTGCTTCTGCTTCCTGAGCACTGGAATTAAAGGTATGTACCACCATGCCTGGCCTGGATCTTGATAATTTTACATGGATAGTTATAAAAAGTATAATGACCAATGGGAAAAAGACAAAAAATAGACCTAAAACTTTATAAGACTGCACTCAAAACAACACCCTACATTTGAGACACACATGTAAGGGTGGACACGGAAGGTATATTAGAAAGAATGTTAAATATGTGCACTGATAGTAGAAACAGAAGGCAACTGCAATGTGACTGCAGAGTGGGCTTAGACCAGTGACAATGTGCCAGGAATCGGGGATATATGAGTGATCGCCTCAACTAATGCATAGCAGCCAAGCACTGAAGGCCCAGTCTTGAAGGCCAAGTTCTGCTCTCCCCATGACACATTTATGCACCATGGGTGTCGAAATCAGAGCGAGCAAATGGCTGAACCAGAATTTAAGTTGAGGAGCACCTGACTCACAGCCTGTTCATGCTATGAAGCCACTCTACCAGGTCAGGAAGAAGGTAAGTTTTGAGGATAGGCTATTTACAAAATGAACCAAGTTTTAGCAAGCGGACCCTCGTTATACAATTATTTGAGAACTACAAAGCAAGGACAGAGTCAAATCAGTCCAATACTCCTTGAGTTTTCTGCTCGTTTTGTATTGCTGAAGTTTGAACCTAGGGCCTCATACATGCCAGGCAACAAGCATACTACCACTAAGCTATATCTCCAGTTCCCTGACCCTCCTCACTCATTCTAATTATTTTTTAACTTTTTAGTTTGCAATTGGATCTTACTATATTGTACAAACTGGCTTTAAACTCACAATTCTCCTGTCTCAGTCTCTTGAGTAGCTGGAATTGCAGGTCTGCACCACCTGGAATGGCCTTAATTCACTAAAGTATTCATGACGCTCATAAACGACAGTGACAGTGCCAAATACATACCGTGAATAAACATCATCTTGGGACAGTCTCTTAGTACTAGATCTGTGATTCCACAATTGGTCATAGTGACTCCAACAAGGTTTTTGGATTTTAATATGAGAACCTAAAAGATAAAAGTTTAAAAGTTATACCTGAGTCCGACTTTTCCACTGTGCTTTTTAAAATAGATATATATTATTTTTATTTCATGAGTATATTGCTACATATGTGTACGTGCACCCATGTCATGCAATGCCCGTGAAGGTGAGACAAGGGCATTGGATCCCTTGGAACAGGAGTTACGGACAGCTGTTAGCCACCATGTCGGTGCTGGGAATCAAACCCAGGTCCTCTAGATGCGCAGCCAGTGTTCTTAACTGCTGAGCCATCTCTCCAGCCCCACAATTTTTTTAATGGTAAAAGTTTTCATTGTGACAACCAAGAAGCAGCTGTTACTAGATTTTGTTTACCACATCGAAACTATATAAAAATAGAAATTTTAGTTTCCTTGCAAAGCCTTAAGAACTCAGCTGGACTGTGAAACATAAGCAAGTGATATCTTCCTTACCTGTACATGATCATCCTCAATCACAGGGTCACTGGTACTGGTGGATTTATCTGCTGTTCGCTTCCGTTTCATAGCATGACGTGGCTTTGTTTTGGCAACTTCTATTAAAGGGAAAAAAAATTCAAAATTTTAGCCTTGCTTTGTTTCCTCCCCAGAGCCCATTCAATCACCTATATACAAACTCCATCAAGGCAACTCCCAAATCTCAACTTGGTTCTCAAGGACATATAATTAGGCTGATGTTTCTAATGACCTGCTCCTACCTGAAGTATTTAATCTCACAGTCCTTTCATACAACTTCCAACAATCTGATCAAGATTCCTGGCTTTCAGCCTCTATGACTCACCCTATCCTGATTAAACGCATGACTTTCCTGCTAAAAGTTTGACAACTGATGCTTAGCAAATGTTCCCTTGCCTGACACTGGAGTAGGTAGCTTGAATGCACCTGTTTGCCATGTTACTCCACCCTGGACCTCAATCATCTTCCATTACCTAGGTCTGATGCCATTAATCACTATACCTCTTTCTGCTCAGAACATCTCCTGTGCCTTCATTTTCTAAAAGATGGCACATCTCAAAATGGTCCTAACTTAACTGTCACTTGGTTCCAGCAATTCGACCTGGATCTCCAAACATTATATACTTCTCTGTTGTTCCCATACACTTGTTTTGCCTCCACATTTAAGCATAAAGTTCCCAGAAGGCAAGAACACTCTTATTTCATCTTCCAATGTCAGTCACTATGACTTAAAATGAACATGTACTGAATGACTTGGCACTCAGCATCAAGGAAGCAATGACTACACTGCAGGAACATCAGCAAAATAGCAAATATTTATTGAATGCTTACTGTGTGTCAGGCACCACTCGAAAAGTCCTACTTGCACTAATTCACTTAAATCCTTAATCATCCTGCAAGACAGATTTTTAAAAACCTATCTAGTTGGGCAGGGTGAAGCACATATTTAATCCCAGCACTTGGGAGGCAGAGACAAGTGGATCTCTGTGAGTTCAAGGCCATCTTGGTCTACATAGTGAGTTCTAGGCCAGCTGGGGCTACAGAGAAGACCCTATGTCCAAAAAAAAAAAAAAAAAAAAAAATCAGTTCATCTAATGACTAGGAAACTAAGGCACAGGGAGGTGAAATAGCTTGACAGGAGTCAAACCCAGTCAATGTGGTTCCCATCACTGTGCTAGAAGAGTGGTATTTTTTTTCTGTAAGGCTGTAACTCATTCACTAGTATTATATCAGAACATTGCATTTAATTATGAGTGAATATCCTGACTTTACTTAAAAGCAAGTTCTAAATTCATATCGAAACTCAAGACCATACAATAAATCTATTCGATTATAAGACACTGAAAACCTTGACCTCATTTTTAACACTTAGCTACATGACAGCACGGCACAGAGGAAACTCAGCTCAGGGATGAATTCATTCACCATACTGCTTTCTCCCACACTAATGCTGAGGGTAACCTTCCACTCTGTAATTCTGTAACCTCCGACAAAGATTACAAAGACAGACAGGAAAATGAGGTACAAATATTGCCAATAGCAAAAGGCTCAGGGCTAGGCAAAAATCTCAGATCCAGTGGAATAGGTGACTTTTACGCAGCAGAATGTTCTCCTCAACTGGAACCTGTAAAATTCTGTGCCAAACAACTGAAAATAAGTGCTTTTGTGGAAGGCAAAAAGAGAGTCTGGTCAAGCATATCATGATGGACCTTCCTGCAAACTCTGTCTCCATGATGAAGAACCTGATAAAGGCACACATTTGTCCAAGCTGCCAAGACCCACATAGCTGCTGGAACCTCCTCTCCACACTTTCACAATGAGAACACGAGAGGCAGTCCTGCTTCAGTCCTCTAGCGCATGTCTGTGAAGGGTTCTCTAGTAACATTCTCCTTTCATGATCTCATTTCAAACTTCTCACCTACTAGAACTGCTCTCTCCCCTCCCCTTTACTGCTCACAATATGGGGTTCTAGATGATGCATCCTGCTCTCCAGAGTCTATATTGGTTTGTGTTTCAGCCCTAAATATATTTGCACACAGGTGCCACTAAATGGACTCGGTAGATTACGTATAAATGTATTATGTATATATTAACAAGAATTGTCAAAAAAGAGATCATGAAATTGAGAGGGAGTAGGGGGTTGCTGTAGGAGGAGTTGGAGGGGGACAGGGAGGTGTAGAAACAATGTAAATACAGTACTCATGTAGAGATTCTCAACAGTTACACAAATGAAAAAGTTACAAAATGAAATAATTTATATGGAGATGCTTTCAAATGTACAAGGAAGAGTTTTTCTATTCATTAATATCCTTTCATGTCTTCCTCTCCATTTAAGGACAATTCCTAGTGATTCTGTACAACCTGTAGCATCAACACACCTCATAATAATATAGTTTCTACACTCATTAAGTTCACACCATTCACTGAGCTCCACTCAGTGTATAAGACACGGTGTTAGCAGCTGGGAACATAACGGTGAACAGGCAGACACTGTCCCTGCCCTTGTGGAGCTCACTGTTTACTGTGAAGACAGTCAATAGATGCAGCATTAAAAGTGTAGCTCATGCTAGTGTCAAAAAAGCTACAGAAGCCTGGTGTGGGGGTGCACCCCTTTAATACCAGCACTCGGGAAGCAGAGCCAAGCCCATCTCTGTAACCAGGTCAGCCTGATCTACATAGTGAGTTCCAGGCCAGCTGAGGCTACCAAAAAAACACTCCTAAACAGCAACAACAAAAAAGCTATAGCAATAAGAAAAGTAGACCAGTCAAGGAAAGAATCTAGTTTCTGTGAGAACGGTATTAATCCTAAATGCTATTCTTTCACAACCACATCAAGTATTCTGTGAGTATATAAGTAACCTTTGAAGTGTTTATTTTTATACAATGAGGATAAAAATAACTTACAAGTATTAATTCCAAAATCAGGAAATCACACAGAAAATAATCACATTAACTCCTAACGTGACTGTAACAGTTCAAAGGTTACTTCTCAACTGAATGAATTCCATGACAATCTAAATTATTTCTTAATTAGGTGGATTTTTATCTTTAATTGTCTTACAGCATACCTGGTTTAGTAGAAATCAAAAACATTAATTTCTAAGTCACTCATATAATTTCTTCCCAAGAGACCTAGATAATATTAAAATCAATACTTTTCCTCAGAAAAACTTCTTAAAAGAAACTGGACATTTGCATGATGTTTTAAAAATACTGGGGATTGGAGTTGGAAATGGCTCAGTGGCTAAGAGCACTGGCTGCTCTTGGTGAGGACCTGGGTTCAGTTCCTGGCACCCACATGGTGGCTAATTCTTTACAACCCCAGTTTAAGGGGGGTTTGACACCCTCTTCTGGCATCTGTGGGCATTGCACAACATGGGTGCATTTACATATATGCAAGCAAAACTTTCAGATACATTAAGTTTTTTAAATCTTAAAAATATGGGAATTAATTTATCCATTAAAGCACATTACAGATGTAAAGTCACCTCAGATTAAAAACACAAAAGCAAGGCAATGGACATAGTAGCACATGTTCTAGAAAAGCCAGGTTTTCTTTCTTTTTTCTAATCCAGGGAATTATTTAACCTATGAAACAGTCTGGCTATAAAACAGGTGAGAGTGAAATGGTAAAAAGGATAACAGTTAATACAAAGGACTCATGTTAAAAACAAAACCAAATCAACTTGTAAGACCACCAAAACACAGACGCCAAATAATGAAACATATATAATAATTCCCAAACAGGAGAATCAGTGCTGCGAAGTTAAATTTTCATCAGTTATTAACTTACAGACGTCCCAAACTCTGACAGAATTAAAGAAGACAATAAGCAGATGATTAAAAAAAGAAGATGGGAACATCCATCTAAACCATACGCAGGGCAGGCCATTCTGAGTAAGGAAAGCATGTAGACCAGACTTTGCAAACACAAAAACCAAGTAATAAAAGGCCTCACAGAGGCATGGGGTCCAATTTCACATCTGGGAATGAAAAACCTCAGATGAATAATGGTGACAGGTGTACAATGTAATGGTTCTTAATGTTACTGAATGGTACACTGAAAAATGATAAAATTTTATGTTTCTGTATACTTTACCACAATTTTTAAAATGCTACCACAAAATATTTAAAATTCAAGCTGGGGAGAGTATTTTTACTATCTAACAGAACCAGAGTAAAGTTTACAAAGCATAATATTACCTTCAAATAAAACTATTGTTTTAAACAAATTTATGTTACTGTGACCATTTGCACATAGTAAGTCTCATACTTCAGAAAGCTTAACTTTGTGAACTTAACTCCACACTAGCTACCTAGCTGTACTGAGTGTATGAAAACACTGACTTGACTCTGTTCTGAGACTGATTTTAAGATTTTAAAACCTAGATACTCTAGATACTTAAGAGAAAATTAGAATTCATTATCATTTGATGACAGGCATTAATAATTTAATAAAGGCAAGAAAGATCACTTAAAAACAGGACGATAAATGAGATTAAATAATGTGCTTAGTCTTGCTCAACTGGATGCCCTAGCATATATACACTACAAATACTAATGAAATTGTGTCTGTGTGTGTGTGTATCTGTGTGTGTGTGTGTGTGTGTGTATGTGTGTGTCTGTGTACCTCCACCCAAATAAACCTCAGGTAATTACTTACCTGCTTATAGGAAAACCTAGCTGGAAGTATA